ACTTAATGGTGATAGACTGAAAGCTTTCTCCCAACGAGCAGGAATAAGACAAGGATGCCTGTTTTTATCACTGTTCCTCAAAATTGTACTAGAAGTTCTAGCCAGAGCAATTAGGCAAGAAAAAGAAATAAAAAGCATCCAAATTGAAAGTAAAGTCTAAAATCTCTATTCATAGATGACACAACCTTATATATAAAAAATCCTAAAGAATCCACAAAAAATTACTAAAACTAATCAATAAATTCAGCAAAGTTGAGGTATACAAGATCAACTTATAAAAATCAGCTGTGGGGCCGGCCCCGTGGCCGAGTGGTTAAGTTCGTGTGCTCCGCTTCGGCGGCCCCGGGTTTTGCTGGTTCGGATCCTAGGTGCAGACATGGCACTGCTCATCAGGCCACGCTGAGGCGGTGTCCCACATGCCACAACTAGAAGGACCCACAACTAAAATATACAACTATGTACTGGGGGCATTTGGGGAGAAAAAGCAGAAAAAAAATCAGTTGTATTTCTATATACTGGCAATAAACAATCCAAAAATGAAATTTAAAAAAACAATTTCATTTACAATGGCATCGAAAAGAATAAAATACTTAGGAATACTTGTACATTAAAAGCTATAAAGCATTGTGGAAAGAAGTTAAAGAAGACCTAAATAAACAGACTGATATCCTGTGTTCATGGATTAGAAGACTTAATATTAAAATATCAATATACTCAATCTACAGATTCAGTATAATTTCAGTCAAAATTCCAACTGTATTTCTGCAGAAATGGACAAGCCTCCATTCATATGGATCAAATTCATATGGAATTGCAAGGGACCCAGAATAGCCAAAACAACCTTGAAAAGAAAGAACAAAGTTGGAGGACTCACATATCTCAATTTCAAAACATACTATGAAGCTACAGTAATGAAAACAGTGTGATACTAGCATTAGAATACATATATATACATCCAGGGCTGGCCCCGTGGCGAAAATCATTGAGTTCAAGTGCTCTGTTTCGGCGGCCCAGGGTTTCACTGGTTCGGATCCTGGGCGCGGACATGGCACCGTTCATCAGGCCATGTTGAGGCAGTGTCCCAAAATAAGGCACCCTAGCATACTGAACATCTTACGTTGAAGGAGTTTGTGAAAATGGCAGGAGGAGGAAGGTCACTTTAACCTCCCCGACCTTGCTCTTCTTCCCTGAAAAGACATAAATCTCCTGTGTGAAAGGTACCCTCCCAGTATCAGAAGGGAGACATCCTTACCACCAGAGACAGGTAATTTATGGCTGAGAAGTCTGTATAAACAAACCTTGTTAATCTAATCCTTATCTTACAAGTTATTCCTTCACAATTTACCACCTCTAACCCAAAACCCTTTGTCTTACCAATTCTTCACAAATTTGTTTTTGTCTAAAAGGTATAAAAGCTTTCTGCTCTGGGCACTTTGTATTTCATTTTTTTGTGAAGGCTCCTATGTACATGTACATGTAAAGTTTCATGACCTTGGATTTGGCAATGGATTCTTATAAATGACACCAAAAACACAAATCACCACCACCACCAATAGACAAATGGGACTTCACCAAAATTTAAAACCTTTGTGCATCAAAGGACACTATTGAGAAAGTGAAAAGAAAATCCACAGAATGGAGAAAGAGTACTTAAGGGAAAACAAATGACTTTTTGGAAAAATAAATAGGTCCTTAGGAGAACAGACAAGAGATTTGATAGTTTTGTGACAATGTCTATCCTGGTGAAAGTTCCATGTAAACTTTCTTACAATTTATTGTAAGAAGAGTGTGTATTCTGCTGTTGTTGGGAAAAGCAGTCTATGGATACCCATTATATCCAGTTGACTGTGTTACTGAGTTTAAGTATGTCCTTACTGGTTTTCTGCCTGTTGGATCTGTCCTTTTCTGAAAGGTCTTGATGTCTCCAAATATAATAGTGAATCCATCCATTTCTCCATGCAGTCCTGCCATTTTTTGCCTCATGCAGTTTGATGCTCTGTTGTCAGGCACACACAAGTTATGGATTGTTATGTGTTTTTGGAGAATTGGCCCCTTTCTCATTATGTAATTTCCCTTTTTATCCCTGATAACTTTCCTTGGTCTGAAGTCTGTTCTCTAAAGTAAATATAGCTATTCCCGCTTTCTTTCAATTGGTATTAGAATGGTATCTCTTTCTCCAATCATTTATTTTTTATTTTTTTTAAAGATTGGCCCCTGAGTTAACAACTTGCCAATCTTTTGTTGGTTTTTTTTGCTTTTTTCTCCCCAAATCCCCCCAGTAAATAGTTGTATACTTTTAGTTGTGGGTCCTTCTAGTTGTGGCATGTGGGACGCCGCCTCAATATGGCCTGATGAGCGGTGCCATGTCCACGCTCAGGATCCGAACCGGCAAAACCCTGGGCCGCTGAAGCAGAGTGCACACGCTTAACCACTCGGCCATGGGGCCGGCCCCTCTAATCATTTATTTTTAATCTACACGTATCTGCAGCAGCAGCTCTGACTGCCCATGGGTCCTGTCCCCATGCTATTCCATACTATTCTCTAAATAAAAGAGCACTACTGCCAGGGGAAAAAAAAAAAAATCTACACGTATCTTTATATTTAAAGTGGGTTTCTTGTAGACAAAACATAGTTGGATCTTGTTTTTTGATCCACTGGTACAACCTTTTTGAAGGGCAATTTGTGTTAAACAGAAAGACTTCATTCAAGAATATTGCAATAGGGGTATCGCAATAGGCGAGAGAGATCAGGCTCCACCCCAAACACAACAAAGACAAGTTCATAGCCAAGGAGCAGGGCAAGGATGTCAGTGAATGGAACATTACTAAGAGATGACATCAAGAGCAGGGGGATTCTTGCTCAACTGACCTAACAGGATTCTTGTTATAGGCAGGCCAAAGTCATATACATCAAAGGTGGGGAACGAGGAACTTCAGATATCAAGGGTGATCAGATATTAAGGGTGGGATATTCTCTCTAAACTAACTTAACAGGATTGTTTACTATCATATATCCATATTCATAGCAGCATTATTCACAATATAGTCATGTGTCACTTAAAGGGGATACATTCTGAGAAATGCATCCTTAGGCAATTTCATCACTGTGTGAACATCATACAGTATTACACAAACTTAGATGGTATAGCCTCCTGCAGACCTAAGCTATATGGCACTAATCTTATGGGACCACTGTTGTATATGTGCTCTGTCATTGACCAAAACATCATTATGCAGCTCATGACTGTAATGAACTGGGCTGGTCAGGCCAAAGACAGGATGTGGGTCAAAGTCCAGACTTATTTCAAAAGAGGGCTCAGAGAAGGCTGACTAAAGTTTTGTCAAGGAGTGTCTTTGTCATGTATAATGTTTATCAAAATTAAAGATGCACATACTCTTTAATATTACGATTTTAATACTTAGAATTTATCCCATAAACATACAAGTGCACCCCAAGATATATGTATAACGATTATCTCCAAACCATTCTTGATAATAGCATCTAAAAGTCCAACAACAGAGGACTGGTTAAATAAATTAAGGTACCTACTTTTTCCTCTCAATTTTTTTTTATTGTGGTAAAACACACATAACGTAAAATTTACCATCTTAATCATTTTTAAGTGCACAGTTTTATGATATTAAATACATTCATAGTGCCATGTTACCATCTCCAGAACACTTTTCATCTTGTAAAACTAAAACTCCATACTCATTAAACAATAACTTTCCATTCTCCTCTTCCCCCGAGGCCCTGGCAACCAACATTCTACTTTCTGTCTCTATGAGTTTGACTACTCTTGATACCTCATATAAGTAGAATCATATGGTATGTCTTTTTTTGTGACTGGCTTATTTCACTTAGCATAATGTCCTCAAGACCTGTGTTGTAGCATATGTCAGAATTAATTTCTTTTTTTCTTCCTGCTTTTTCCCCCCAATCCCCCCAGAACATAGTCGCATATTTTAGTTGTGGATCCTCCTAGTTGTGGCATGCAGGACGCTGCCTCAGCATGGCCTGATGAGCAGTGCCATGTCAGTGCCCAGGACCTGAACTGGAGAAACACTGGGCCTCCTGAAGCAGAGCGCGTGAACTTAACCACTCAGCCTTGGGGCTGGCCCCAGAATTTCTTTCCTTTTTAAGGCTGGATAATATTTCATTGTACGTATGTACTACATTTTGCTTATCTATTCATCCATCAATGGATACTTGGGTTGCTTCCACATTTTACCTATTATGAATAATGTTGCTATGAACATAGGTGTACAAATATCTCTCTAAGACCTTACTTTCAATTCTTTACTTATATACCCAGACACAGAACTGCTGGATGATACAGTAATCCCAATTTCAGTTTTTTGAGGAACCTTCATATTTTTTTCTACAGCAACTATACCATTTTACATTCCTACCAACAGCTGAAAGGTACCTTCTTAAAATGAAATAATATGCAGCTGAAAAAAGAATGAGGTCTATCCATATGTGTTGGTACCAAAATACATGCAAAACACTAATCCAAGATGGAAGGTATAGAAAATATTACATTATTATCCTATTAAGAAATGTTAAAAATGGGTAGATAGATAGTGCAATATCTATAAAAAAAATGCTTTTGAGAAGACACACAAGAAAGTATTAATAGTAGTCAACTTTGGAGAGAGGCACTAGGAAACAGTAGCAAAAGGGAGGTTTTCTTTTTCATTTTATACCTTCCTATACAGTTTGTTTGATAGGAGCTATTCCACCCTTACTGGAGGTGGAACCTCTTTATTATTTCAATTTCTTACTTTGGGCATTTATATATATATTTATTTTTACATATACACATATGTGTGTGTGTGTGTGTATATATATGCTATAAAAGGTAAACATAAAATTGTAGGACAAGGAAGAGATTTTCAGAATTGGCTCATGCCACTGAACTATTTACTTATTTTTTGTGCTAATCAAACACCTTCAAACATACTTGATTAGTTATATTTCAGTAGTTTGAGTCATACCTTTGAGTGTTCTGAAAGGAAGTCTGGAAGGAGATAAACTTGTGCCAGTAGCTCTGTGTAGTCACGACAACGAAAATAATAAATATGGGAAAGAATATTTTCAAGAGTGAAATCCTCCAAAGCTTTTGAGTACTCTGAAATAAACAACAAAACGCTATTAAAATAATTAGTTTTACCTGTTTTGATTTATTGGTGACTGTGGGAAAACAATGTCTTTGAATAACAAAATGCTTCACTGTAAATAGCAAAACCATTCACTTTAATTGAAAGACAAAACTGTAGCAAAATTATTATAAACTATCATTTCATCATTCCTGGTCTCTTATTTTTATCTTTCCATTGTTTCCTTATATACTAGGCTATCTAGAAATTGTTTATACACATACACGACTAGAGTTTTAATGCCTGCGGTCTTCATATTTCTAGCTAATTTCCATTGAATAGAAGTAACATAATGGAATTCCTCTTGTTTTTTCCACAGGACTACAAATTAAGAGTTAAAAGGAATAATGCTCAAAAGAAGCATTTTTTTCCCTCTTAAACGTTGTAGTATAACTTGTTATTTAACTAGAAACAACAACAACAAAAATTCTGTCCTTAGATTGAATTTAAAAAAATAACCCGTTTGGTTTGGTACATATTTCAGAGAGAAACCAATTTAAAACTATTGCATTTTAAAATGTACTTAAGTTTTAACATTGAAAAAAAAGCCCAAGAAATTAAATTTCAGAAAACATTGCCTATTGCAAATATACATTTAAAAAGTTCTTTTTCCTTTGATGAGGAAGATTCATCCTGAGCTAACATCTGTTGCCAATCTTCTATTTTGTATGTGGGTTGCCACCACAGCATGGCCATGACTGGTGTAGTTCTGCACCTGGGAACTGAACACGGGCTGCCAAAGCAGAGAGAGCCAAATTTAACCACTAGGCCACCAGGGCTGGCCCCTAAAAAGTTCATTTTACCCAAAAAATAACAGCTTAATCACACACCAATCATTAAATACTCTCTATCCTAGTACCATACCTACAATATTTACAATGAGATTTTAAGACACTATTACAAATACACATTGTAATATGAGTAGCTTTAAGGACTTTCAGTAGATACACTGGTCATTAGTTAAAAGGAACACCTAGTACTCTCATGGAAAATAAAGATATCCAACGGCCGGCCCCGTGGCCGAGAGGTAGAGTTCGCGTGCTCTGCTTCAGCGGCCAGAGTTTTGCTGATTTGGATCCTGGGCGCGGACATGACACCACTTGTCAGACCATGCTGAGGCGGTGTCCCACATAGCACAACCAGAAGGACCTACAAGTAGAATATACCACTATGTACTGGGGAGCTTTGGGGAGAAAAAGAAGAAAGAAAGAAAGAAAAAAGATTGGCAACAGATGTTAGCTCGTGTCAATATTTAAAAAAAAAAAGAGATCCAGCTGATTACACTCATTCAAAGGGAATACAGTCATGCACTGTATAATGATGTTTCCATCAACGATGAACTACATATACAATCGTGATGCTATAAGATTAGTAACATACTGCCTAAGTGTGTAGTAGGCTATACCATCTAGGTTTGTGTAAGTACCCTTTATGATTTTTGCACAATGACGAAATCGTCTAATGATGGGTTTCTCAGAATATATCCCCATTAAGCACAGGACTATACAAGCATCTTACGAAGAGTATTACGTTTTTTAAAACTTCTAGAGAAAAGAGTAAGGATTGTGTATCAAAAAATAAAGTAAGATAAAACAAACAAACCAGAAGCCATTTTAGAAATAATTGAAAGGTTGAATTAAAATTGCCCTAAAAAAATTTTTTTAATCACTTTATTTCCATATAACAAATGCAAAAAAACTTCCCAAACACTTTACCAATACAATTAACACAGACATGAAGTCAATTACATACTACTCAGAGCCCCATAAGGTCAATCCACTTAACGTTCCAAACATTTCCAGACATGGTTTTTCAAAGCTACCCTTGACTTTCGGGAAAAGTTGTGTGGAAGTCAACATACACTGAATGCACTGAATACACTGAAAGCACTGAGACAACATTTACTTTTTATTAAGGTGTCCAACATTAGTTCATACTTGGCAGGTCAGAGCACGATGATTTGAAGTCATGCACTGAAATACATACACAGGTTTAGCTACAGAGCTCCTGCAGCACGAAGTGAGGGCCATAAAAGGGAAAGAAAACGCCAGTCCAGGTTGTGGCATTTCTCATTTTTGTAAGGGAGATATGAGAGTTTAACACCCATACATTATCAAGTCATTAAGCTTCACGTTCCAAATGCTCTCTTGCTGAGGCTTGAGATGGGTACAAACGTAAATTACTTTTATTATACAGAAAAAACAGAATCACTTGCTAACTTACCCTCTCCCAAATGTGTTCCTGCTATAAGCTGAAGGTGCTGAATGCAGGCATTAGCAATGTCTACCACTCTATCAACCATAAAACTTCCTTCTGTATCAATAAATACTGCTTCACCTTCCACTCCTCCAAAACATTCTGGTATCTGCACATCTACTGCCAACTGCATACTGTCAAGAGAAAGTCAAATGACCAAATCATTATCATGATCATCTAAGACAATGTTTTTCAGACTCCAGATCACCACCCATTAGGTGCCACTAAATGTTTTATAAATGCAAATATACACCCCAAGGCAACAAAGGTGGGTGACTTTCCATGGCTCCAAATATATTTGAATCAATCGATGCTTGGATTAGGGGAAGGGTATGCCTATAAAACCATGATGAAAGATTATTTTGTGGTTTTTAGGCCTCTGGGAAAGGAACAACTTTCTTATTATACAAAAATATACTTTCAAACATTTGACTTTCAAATATATTCGCAGGAATTAATTATATAAAAAAGTAAAAGATTGCCTTTTTACTCTAATGACTACTTACCATGTTGCAAAAGAAATTTTTTTTTGGTGAGGAAGACTGGCTCTGACCTAACATCTGTTGCCAATCTTCCTCTTTTTTTCTGCCCCAAAGCCCCAGTACATGGTTGTATATTCTAGTCTTAAGTCATTACAGTTCTTCTATGTGGGATGCCACTGCAGCACAGCTTGATGAAAGGTGTGTAGGTCCATGCCCAGGATCCAAGAGGTAGAGGCAGAGTGTGCAAACTTAACCACTCAGCCACAGGCCAGCCCCAAAAGAAACATTTTTTTGATATCAAAATAATTTTATCAATTTATCAAGATAGAGTGCTTAAGTAACACCAATGGTTGATTTTTGTTTGATGCACGCGTACACACACTCACAATTAAGAGCACACACCTGGCTTTTTTGCTTTCCTGACTGTAGAACCACAGCACAATACTCTATTACTTACATAAACGTTAGCTAGGCCCACCCTTAAGAGGGGAACATTTTATTTTACCATAATTGTGTTTTTCCAACACCTGGTGCACCACAAATTTCTGTTGTTTTGGTCAAGGGTACTCCGCCCCCAAGAATATTATCTAGTGCTGAACAGAAGGTAATTATGAAGTTCTGGGTATGCTCCTGCTCAAGCAGTTCCAGTGCTGTGCACTTCTTGCCTGACTCAGCTGTACCAACACATCTTGGTTTATTTGTGAGACATTCTCTTCTTACAATTTGCAGAGTTTCTAAGGCTTCCTCTTTAGATATCCCAACTTCTGAAAATAAAATAAAAAAACAAACAAACCTGATTTTAGAGATTTAACACAGTCGAACAGGCTAGTAGGTTGTCCTCATTAATTTTAATTATTAGATAACAAGAGTGATGTCAAGAGAAACATAAAAATGTAACTTTTCACTATTTAATTTCTCAAGTTAATAAAGACATTTACTTATATTTTCTCAGTCTCCACATACTTAAAAGATTTTTTTATTACCTCAGAAACCTAAACCTCTAAAGCATTTCTGAGTACCTACAAGAGTATCTCAGGAGGTAGAAATAAAAATGTACTAGCACTGAGTCCTTTTACTATCCCTATTGGTCTTAAGAAGCCATAGTTATCTTGTTGTCTGAGGCATACAAATTATTTTCTCGCAGAGAATGAAAATGGCCTCTTTAATGGACTAAAACGGGATGCAACTTTAGAAGTGCATAGGCATGTATCATTCATAATAAAAATTTTTCATGGAAACGCTAGTATGAAAAATTCATGTATCACTCCAAACTATTTAATGAGAACAATTATTTGAAGCACAAATATTTTAAACAATACACTTATGCTTCCTCAACTACACAGTTTCATTCCTATCCAACAATATAGCATACTCGGCAGTGAAAGATTTAAAACAAATAGTTAACATTGGGTGTACAACATTTATTCTTGAGCGGCAAGTTGGAAACTCCTTATTTTTCATTGTTAAGGGCAATGATTTAAAATTCTGTTCTATCTTAATAGCACAGTTCTCGGCAAACTGTAGTATAATGTGCACAGTGAGACTGACCGCAGACGGCTTCATTTTGTACCTCAGGATACAGTGGTTCCCACCAACAAACAATCTAGTGTTCTGGAATGTGAGGTTTTGTTTTTTTTCAGTGAATTACATAAGAAAAGCGATGTCTTCTTTCTACTGCTTTCTCCAAGTTCTGGGGATTCTATTCCCTTTCTCACTCTTACTATCTCTAGTCCTATTGATGTGGATTAAGGCTGCCCCAGGTAGAGAAACCCAAGGTGACCTGGCCTACATGCAGATCTATGTGACCCGGTGGATTTTTATGGTATGAATTAGGGCTGCCCCAGGGAGAGAAGCCCAGCATCCTCACCTACATGCCGATCTATATGACCAGATTCGTATCTAAAATTATATGACCGCACAATAACCAGACCCCATCTGCACTGAAATCATTTAATGACTTTTTACATCATCTTTTCTTTTTCCAGTAAAATAAGTCACATACCCGTGCCTTGTAAATTTAGCCCTAACCCTCAACTCAGGGCAGCAGCTCTTCACTGCCCATGGGTCCTGTCCCCATGGCTGCAGCAGCTCTTTACTGCCCCTGGGTCCTGTCCCCATGATATTCCATATCATTCTCTAAATAAAAGAGCACTACTGCCAGACCTTGAGAGTCCAAGAAATCTTTCTTTCGATTCCTTGGCTCACCAACCCCGCATCACTATCTCGAATCCTGCATTTCTCAAATTTAATCCTCACCCCTTGGATTTTGAAACAGCGAAAACAAGGCAGCTTGTCTGGGGTCCAATCTTGGCCCCATAACTACCTAGCCCAGGCATCAGGAAATGTTATTTAACTTCCCCAAGCATCAGTTCCTCCATCTATATTGGACATAATACACGTGAGAAGGTTCTTTAGAATATAAACGAGATAATCCTCAGGGCATTCAGCAGGCACTGGCAGAGAAAGCAATTAGTAACTGTTTTCGAGACCACAGTTCTAACCATTCAAACCATGTTTACGTGGAGTCACGGAACCGTTTCACGTCGTAAACGCAGCGGCGGGCGGCAGCAGAACCTGGCGGAGACCGGCTGAAGCCTGAAGGCGGGAGGATGGAGATGGAGATGGAGATGAAGGCGGCAGAGACGGCGGCCAGTGCGCCTCGGCTTGCCGTCGGGGGTCGTTACCTTTGCTGAGCTCGGAGGGTTTCACCTCTAGGAGTTCCTCAGCAGTCTGGAAACCTGCAGACACCAGCTTCACCCGCACCCCTGGGGACAGAGGGAAACTCCCTAAATCCCGCTGCATTTCAAAGCCGGTCTCCACGCGCGCAGCCGCGCACACGCAGAGCCGCGAAAACCCGGGCAGCCAAACCCGGATCGCCCGCTCTCGGCCGCGCCGAGTGACGTCAGACGTAAGGCGGAAGGGGCGGGGTCTAAGGCCTGGCTGCATGTGGCCTTGGGCCTTGGGGCTCTGTGGAAGCGTATCAAGTTTTCACAGGTCCACAGCATTTCCATTGTGATTCTTCCAAATCGCACTTAAGGTTTACCCATCAAACGTACATCCTGACAATAAAAGGATGGATGGATGGAGACCGCAGGATGGAGAGCCAGGCCCAGTGAACCCTACACACCACATTTCCTCCCCTGCGTCCTGGACCGTTGGGTGGAAACCTCAGGGTTGTTAATAGGAGTGATATCCCCGAGTGGGAGTAACACATACACACTAGGCAGTTACGGGTTTCGGGTATGGAATGGTCTAAAAGGAAGAATCTGCGTCCTCATTAGAGGGTTCCAGTCTCTTGGCTCTTCTCGCCCCCTGTCCCCCCGCCTGCCCCCCTCGCGTTTCCCGCCCTCGCCCTCGCGAGGGATTGTGGGCCAGCCCCCCAGCGCGCAGGAAGAACTAGGCGCCCGATCGCCACCCCCACCCACGCCAGCCCGCGAGTGCAGTCTGGAGCATGGTGGTTTATGAGACCGTTAGTTCTTCACGGCCTGCCTAACTTAAGAAGTAGCTGGAAACGTAAGCAAGTAATGTCCACGTGTCGCGCTGGGCATGGGGTCCCCCGGGCCTGAGAGGAAGTGGTTGGGCTGCTCAAGAGGTCCTGCTCTGGTACAGAGTTGGGAAGGGACCGCTTCTAAAATAGAGAACTCGGAGGGAATTGAGAGGCGGTTTGGAAGGTGGTTACGAAGTGTTCCCTTGCCTAGTATGTTTTATTTACGGGAGTAATTCATTGCCTACCTTGTGCGATGATTCTTAGCCTTGGCTTTTCTTTCTTGCTTAAATCTTAAGAAAGATTTTTTAAGGGCAAATCAGAGCCTTTAAGTATATAAGATCTGAGGGAGGAAACATGTTGAGCACGCTAGCAAATACCACGCATTTCAAATGCTTACAACCATGCCGCGAGGAAGATAGGGACATGGAAGCTCAGAACACAGTTTTCTTAAAGCCAAAATTAAAACCTGGTACCCATTTTTCCACCCCGAGCTACCCCCAAATTCTGAGCTCCTCTTGGGGTGGGGGGTGGGGAATGCAAGAAGTATTTGTCCTTCATTTGGTAGGGCAAGGAAAGTCTGGTAGGACTGGTCAAAATGTGGTTTGTTTGCCACTTGGTACATTGCTTAACTTCTGGTATGATCCGCATCTGGGGGCACGTTGGGCATTGCATAAATGTTGTCCGTAGGGAAAATTCGTGCTTATCCTTATAAGGCAACCAGAGTCTTGGGTGAAGAGACGGTGTTATATTCAGCGATGGCTCTTCAGTTAGTTTGGTCGAACTGAATGGAATCGGTCGTGTTTTGAATTTTGTTTCATTGGCAGTGGAGAGTTAAGAAACTAGTCGACTCTGTAGCTATACAATTATGTGTTGGTATTGTGACCCTTGGGTTGTTTATAATTATTGTTTTCGTCATCATCTTAAGATTTCTTTAATGCAGTTTGCTCTATATTCCAACTGCAATCCAGGTTTTGAGGCCAGGTACCAAGAACTAAACAAAGCTATGGGATTTTTATGGAAGGTGCACCTTCCTATGGTGTCAGGTCTTCTCACATATTTTCTTTAGAGAGGGAAGAATTGAATGATTTAACAGGTAAACCATTTAAAACATTTTCTGTTAAACAAGCATTAATGAAGTGTAGAGTAAAATGCAAATACAAAAATAAATTTTAAGATGAACATAAGACTTTGAAGAAAGATCCAGTTTAAACTGGATCCTTCGGTAGTCTCCCAAAGCCTCCTGAGAATGTTTTTATTTTCGTTTGTAATTTGGGGTTACTTGATGAAAAAGTTTGAGAGGCACTGCTATAGGCAAATGAGCATGAGCTGTGAAGTCATACAAATTTGGGCTTATATCACATCTCTGGAAGTTACCACCTGTGAAACTTTCAGTAAGTTACTGAGTTTTCTCACCTGCAAGTAGATAATATTTCATGGGGTTGTTGGAAATATTAAATAAACAGATATAAAATATTTATCACAGAAAAGGTGTATAATAAACCTTAGTTTCTTTCTCCATTTTAAAATATTCTAATGTGTATGCAGTTGAATAAAGCCTTGTTGAACACCTAGCTCAGCAGAGTGCTAATACTGTGAAACTTTTTCTTTAATGCCTACAGTTGTAAAGGGCCAAATAAAAGTGCTTTTATATATTTTATTTTATTTGACTTGATGATTATAATATCTTGTGAACAGTTTACAGGGATCCCTATTTAAAATTAGCACATCGAAGATTGGATCACTTAGGCAAGATTAAATATTTATTAAATGCTAGTAATGTGCAGGATGACAGGGCAAACAAGACTCTGCCCTCGTGGTGTCTGTAATCACTCAGGATCATTATTGGGTATTTCTGACTTGTGTTACATTTCCTGTCCTTTCTAAGGATAGGAATGAGCTATTGCTGTCAATATCTGCAGTTAATCTAAGTGTTTAAATAAGGAGACATTTTCATGGTGACTGGGCTATTTTCTAGAGATATGGGAGAGGAGTAATATGAATATTTCTCTTATAGTTGAGGAAAAGTTTGTTTTCTTTTAGTCTAAGAACATAGAACTTTTAAAAATGGTGACCTTGCATGTTCAAGGGGATTAGGGATTAGGAGAGAGAAATGAATGCTGCTTGGACTGAGAAAAAACCCCAAATCAAAGCTTAGCTTTAGACGTGGTTATGATAAGGCTTAAGGCCTCAAACATATATATCTGGAGTAGCAATGTCAATTGCACAAGGCCTTATACATAGTAGAAGTTCAATATATATTTGTTGTCCGCAGACTTTCTTGAAACATTCTTCTCACTTGACTTCTGTGATGTCACATTCCTGATTTCCTTCCTGCCCATCTGGCTTTTGTGTCTCCCTTGCAAGCTCATGCTCCGGGCATGAAATGTTAGAGTTCTTTTGAGGCCCCTATAGCAGAGCTGACTACTCTGATTTGTTCTTTCCTCTCTTGTTCTCCCTCATTCTCTCCCTCTCTGTATTTCTCTCTGCTATCTGATTCACATTCACGGTTCAGTGACTATATGCCAGTGATTCTTAAATTTATGTTTCTAGCCCTGACCTGTTCTCTGACTTCCATATGCAAATACCTAATTGCCTCCTCGACAATAATAAAAATGATAATAAAAAAAGTTTCCAATTCAGCCTATCTTAAACCTAACTCATTATCTTCAGACCACTGCCAGCCTTGTCCTCTTCCTGCATTCCCTGCTTCCAAGAACTGAATATCCATCCTTCCATCTGCACAAACCAGAAACCTAGGAATCATCCTCAATACCTCTTCCCCTTTCACTCCCTGTGTTCAGTGTATCCACAAATCCTATCAATTTTCTCTCTAAAATATTTAGATTATGTTCATGTCTCCCTCCCTAGACCAAGCTCCCACCATTTCTCATATAGGTACTGCAAGAGCCTTTTAGTAGTCTCTGCATCTTGTCATCTCCCCTCTAGTCTGTTCTTCAGTGCTGCAGCAAGTACGTTTCAGTTCTTGTCACTCCGTATTTTGCTTTTAGGATAGAGACCAAATTTCTTAAGGTTTACAAAAAGCCTTGCATGGTCTGACTCCCGTTTACCTCTTTAGCAGCATCCTTTTCCTCCCTCCCGTTTAGTCTCTACACTTCAGCCACTCTGGCCCCTAATTCCTTGTGTGTGCCAGACTTTACCCCACAACAGAGCCTTTGCACGTGGCTATAATATTAACTCTCCCTGCTTCACCCTGTTAGCTACTGTTTATCCTTCATTGACCCCTTCTCTGACCCTGAACCTCTACCTCCAAGAAACCCCCTCAAAACTAGGTAAAGTCTCCCCTTTAAGGCTCTCATAGCACCAGATCCTTCGTGTGGTCATTTATTTAACATATGTCTCCCCAGCTAAACGGAAAGCTTCAGTAGAGTGTGGACCATGTGGGCTTTACTCACTATTGTTTTCCTAGAGCCCCTAACCCATTGTAAGGCTACAGTAAGTGCTCAGCAGATATTTGTTAAAAGAATAGATGATTAGATAATTGACCTGCTTCTCTTTCCCTATGTTTTTCTATTTTGTACTCTTAAATATGGTAGAAAATATGTACTTGTAGCAAGTATCTACTTGTAGAAAACAAATAAAATACAGAAAATATAAAGAAGAAAATAAAACTGATTCATAAACTTTTTCTTCAACTCAAAGATAATATTAACATTTTGGTTTATTTTAATCTTTCTACAAGTTCATATAATTTATTTATTTTACATACTTCTGATTAAATTATGAAGAAATTTGTGTATCTTGTTTTTCACTTAATATTTTGCCAAAAGCTTTCTCCCATGTGATTAAAAATTATTTGAAAATTAAGTTTAATGATTGCATACTATTCTGTCCTAAGGGCAATCTTTCTAATCGGTAACCTATAATTGGACAGTTGAATTATTTCCAGTTTTTTGCTGTAATGAAGTAGTGAGCTCAGTCTCTCTCTCTCTCAGAATACATTTCTGGAAGTAGAATTCCTGGATCAAAGAGTATGCACATTTTCATTTTAAGTCATATTGCCAAATATTTGCACCAATTAACACTACTAACAGTGTATGAGGGCTGGTTTTCCTACCCCCACCCCAGCACTAGCCCTTAAAGCAGTCTTTACATGTTTTTTTTTCTTTTTTTATTGAAGTATAACTGACTTTAAATGGTTATTGTCTTTTATTACTAAGAGAGGTTAAAAATCTTTTCATGTAATTTTATTGGCCAAATATATCATTGTAACTATCTCCTATCTTTTGCCCACTTTTAATTGTTAGTAGTGATAAAATGCACATAACGTAAAATGTACCATCTTAACCATTTTTAAGTGTACGTTTCAGTAGTGTTAATTATATTCACAATTCTGTGCAACCGATCTCCAGAACTTTATCTTGCAAACATGAAACTCTGTAATCGTTAAACAAGAACTCCAGATTTCCCTTTCCCCCAGCCACTGGCAACCACCATTCTACTTTCTGGTTCTATGAGTCTGACTATTCTTGATGCCTTTTATAAGTGGAGTCATATAGTATTTGCCTTTTTGTGACTGATTTATTTCACTTAGTGTAACGTCCTCAAGGTTCATCCATGTTGCAGCATGTCAGAATGTCCTCCCTTTTTAAGGCTGAATAATATTCCATTGTATGTATATACCACCTCATTGTGTTTATCTGTTCATCTGTGGATGGACGCTTGGGTTGCTTCCACCTCTTGGCTGTTGTGAGTAATGCTGCTATGAACATGGGTATACATCCTTTCCACTTTTTAACAGGGCTGCTTTTAATTTAAAATATGTATCTGTAATACGTCAATGTCTTTTTATTATCAGAAACAATAACTAATATTTATTGTGCTTACTATGGGCCAGGTATTCTGCTCAGCTTCGTCTGACATCAAAATTCACGCTCTAGGGGCTGGCCCTGTTGCAGAGTGGTTAAGTTCACGTGCTCTGTTTCAACAGCCCAGGGTTTGGCCAGTTTGAATCCTGGGCATGGACATGGCACCGCTCATCGAGCCATACTGAGGCAGCATCCCACAT